CATCAACAAATATTGAGAGGAAAGCCAGACGCAAGAAACAACCACTAAACAATTGTAGTATACATATAGAATAAGAGAACCAATCTACACTCAACATTCTAGAAAGTTCAACAGTAACCAAGGAGGCTTTCCAACCAACACAACAGCCCTCACAAACTCACAGTGGCAAAATCAAAAACACTTTCAGTTTCAGATCATTTCTCACTCCCACACAAATATATATACGCATGCATTAAAGAAAACAAACAAAACAAACAAAACCAATCAAACCTGGCAAAAACAATACCATGTGACCTTCGAACGTTCAGCGGTATATTTCTCCTCCCCTCCAATAATGCTAGCAACAACACCCCCCCCCTCCCCCTCCGCGGCCGGCCATGAACGACTCACGAGAGGTTTTTTTTCATGCAGACATCCCAACCAGTAGTTCTGGGTCGTGAGTGCGAGGAGAATGTAACTGAATCGGCGACTCTTCCCTGTGGGACGCGGTTCACTTCAGCGGGACGCGGAACGAACAGTATCGCTTCACGATTCCCTCCCCTGTCGCTGTCACCACCATGCGGCTCGCTTGTAGCTATCTATAGGCCTAGTGCTACTTGAAGGTCGCGAGCGCAACAACACATTACTTCCCTCTGAGAGGCGCACAGGGCTCCATTTGTTGTTGGCTTTTTTTTACCCCCTCAGAAAACGCTCTGTCCCCAGTGCACACACGCCACCCACTCTCACAAATTAGTTTTGCACGCAGCACACAGAGACATCTCATGGAAACGTTTCGTCCCGGCAATGACCTGCGTGTCAAGGTCAGGATGTTGACTGTGTGGGTAGCCGATGAGGTGTCACCATCTTTTAGTTGTTAGTTTAGTAAGGTATTATGGTCACCAGTGCACGCATGCATGCACATACACTCAGGCCACCCACCCACTCTCTCACAAATTAGTTTTGCATGCAGCACACAGAGACATCTCATGGAAACGTTTCGTCGCGGCAATGACCCGCGTGTCAAGGTCAGGATGTCAACTGTGAGGGCAGCCGCTTAGGTGTCACCATCTCTTAGTTTAGTAAGGTTTTACTGCGCTCGCAGCTGCACAAGGTCATATGAGCGCCACCATTTCTCCCCCCCCCTTTCCGATTTAGTTTGGAACAAACGGTAGTTTCCCTTCCTGTACAGCACAAGTGTGACAGAGTGTGCGTGCCCCGACCACAAACTGACAAGTCTCGTTAATTGTCTTCTTCCTCACCTTCTGCCAACGTCCCACGCGTCTTGTCAGTCCGATCATCAATCAAAATCAATCAATACACAAAAGTTCTTGAACATTACTAAACACTTTTCCCAGGAAAAATACTCTTTGTACTCTTACGAAAGGGAGAGTTGTGGAAGAACATTCCTTTGTAAGTAGAGTCGGGGCCTCGCCAACACTTTGTCATTCGTACGGGTAAAAAAAAATCCCAGATCATCCAACAATTCCCTTCACCTTCTTCTTTTCACATCCACGCTGGTACGGTCAACAAACCAGGTCGTCACTTGTCACTACTCAACCACTGTACTTCCAAACTTGTCACGACTCGACCACTGTACTTCCAAACTTGTCACGACTCGACCACTGCACTTCCAAACTTGTCACGACTCGACTACTGTACTTCCAAACTTGTCGCGACTCGACCACTGTACTTCCAAACTTGTCACGACTCGACCACTGTACTTCCAAACTTGTCACGACTCGACCACTGTACTTCCAAACTTGTCACAACTCGACTACTGTACTTCCAAACTTGTCACGACTCGACCACTGTACTTCCAAACTTGTCACGACTCGACCTCTGTGCTTCCAAACTTGTCACGACTCGACTACTGTACTTCCAAACTTGTCATGACTCGACCACTGTACTTCCAAACTAGTCACAGCGTCGCCCCAGCACACATCTACTTCCAGGAACACCCCGGCAGCTCGGCAAACTTCCAACTTTCTCCACCAGCAGCGAGGATGCCCTGTTGGCACAGAAAACTTCCAACTTCTAGAGGAACAAAGTTCCACGTCAACATTTCCACACACACACAAAAAAAGCCATTTCTAAAACAAGAGGAAAACACCTACTTTCAGAACCTCGGTTCTGCTAAATCTTCCACCTTTGCCGTTCAACATTCTTTGTAAGTACTAGAGACGGCACCACCACAACTTTATTAGTTGTTTTGTTTTTCCTGGCATTAAGTTGGTCCATGTCCCACCTCTCACCCGGCACCATCCACAAAAACACCACCGACCTCGGGGGGTCTGCGTCAAAACCTCCTCTCTCTACTCCACCACACCACAGGCAACGACAAACAGTTTGGCAAACCAGAAGCCAAGTATTCTGAACAGCTCTGCCCACACAACATCCCCCCAACAATACCAAGTGACCCTCGA